AGAATCATTCGCTGTTTCCACCTCCCCAAGTAGAAAAGCTGTTCTGCAGTCATGGTCCGCTGCAGGATCCTAGTCACACTTGGCATCGAGTTTCTTTGCAGAGGGATTTTCAAAGGAGCTGCGGGCTCCGTGCATGGTTTTAGACTCTGCTCTGGATTGAAGATAGGAAACCAGTTCCGGGGAACTCTGGCCTCATCCTGCTGAGGGGGCTTGCCTTTACTCACAGGTCCAAAGAGTAAATCATCTTCCTCCAGCAGCGATTCTGGGGTCTGGACCGGATCTCGGCATGCCAAGACCGACCTTACTACCCGGGAGTATCTGGCTTGGTCCACTTCTTCGTAAGGGTTTTTCTTCCTTGGGCCACAGGAATAAGAGGAAGTGGAGAAAGCAGCGCGGTGGGCTGCTTCCACGGAACCCCCCTTGGAACTCCTGAGCTGCATGCAAAGGCTCTGAAATACCTTCATCTTTCGCTGTCTTCTACTTCTTTAGTCTGTTTGCAACACGGAGTGCCTCTTAAAAGAGTTTGGGTTTCACAAGGGTAGTATCGGACGTCACCACGCTTTGTGTAGCTCCAGGAACGCAAAGAGTCTCCGCGACCCCGTACTTTTACCGTTCCCGCGCTTTGGCTAGGCTTTAGGTCACAATGTGTTAATTATTGAAAATGTCCTACCAATTTGGTTTGAAACTGTCTCATTGCTATTTGTTTCTCAATAAAATTATGGGAAAAAAATGAATAAAGTAGACCATATACTAGCCCACAAAAAAAAAGACACACAAATTTAATATGCAAATATTAAGCATTTCTTCAAAGGAAAATTATTTCTGCTTGAAAGAAATAAATAAACTATATTTGAAATGTAAAAAAAATTAGACTAGACATCATGTCTGCATCTTGTACTATGAATAACTACTATAAAGACAACAATATGCAATATATTAATTATTGTAACTATCCTACCGACCTGTTTTGAGACTGTCTGATTGCTACTTCTTTCCCAATAAAACTAATAATAGAAAAAGAAAAAAAGAGAAAACATGGAAAAGATTGAGAAAAGTCTGGATTTCTCATATAGATAGCTATTCTTATAACTTTATTAATGAGTTGGTTAGTGTTGATGTTAGGAAATAGATGCAGAGATTGTTCATATAATAAGCATCCTATCAAATGCATTGGCATGAAGAATTCCTCCAATTTCCTTGTTTGTATCCAAATGAGCTGTCACTTTAATTGAATGTGAAGAAATTTACAACTGACCAGTCCTAGCACAGGTCCGGTGAGTGTGTGGAGAACTTCCTGCTAACCTGCGCTGGAGGGACCAGTCCCAGCCCAGGCGCAGCGTGGGCCGGATCCTCTCCCACCCCCTCGGGCCGCCCCCCACCTCTCCACCGTACATCCCCCACCCCTCCCGCCCAGTAGGAATTTCTGCCAAGTTCCGGGAACCACCAGACCCAGTCCTAGCCCAGGTCTGCAGTGGGAAGGAGCTGAGCACAGCAGCCAGACCTAAGCCAGA